GTATACATTTTTATATATAGACTCTTTATAAATAACTTATTTAAAATAAGTATCACATATTGTGTTGATTTAAATAAAATATTTATAACAGATATTCTGCATTTAATTTAACTGTTATAACATTATTAATTTTCTCTATTTTAATTTAGATTTTAATATTGAACTTAAATAAATAGCCAGTACAAGTAGGATAATGAATTCACTATTTGATTTTATCAGAAGAATTAGGTGAAAGTCTATCAATTTGCTTGAAAGATCTTGATTATTAAAGTCATTATTTTTTTAGGGAAATCTAATTTATACTAAAATAGAGAATTTTGTTGCACCAGTATTTAAACGATGTTCCGGGACATTTAATCATTTCCATACAGTTATAAACTTTTCATATATATTTACACTTTTATGATAATTAACTTTTTCATTAATTTATGGAATCATCATTTACACCACTGTTGTTACATAGGCATCATGTTATTTAAAAGTATTATAAAATACATTAAGGTGAATTGTAGATAAGATAATAAGTTTCACTTTTAAGTGTTCAATGAATTACAATTTGGTTCACCTTGTCGTATTTAATGTCGAATACGATTTTTGTTCAGTACTGTCAACAAACTATTGATACACTACTTGCACCATAATATACGGAATTCTGTTGTATTTAAGTGTTACTATAACTCATTCATAAATTATAATGGCATTATTTAATATAGCATAACTTATTTTTGTTTGATGTTTTTGAAATAATTTTGAATTCTTGCCATAAATTCTTATTTCATATGAAAAATAAATATAAATAACTTANTTCATAAATTATAATGGCATTATTTAATATAGCATAACTTATTTTTGTTTGATGTTTTTGAAATAATTTTGAATTCTTGCCATAAATTCTTATTTCATATGAAAAATAAATATAAATAACTTATTCAGAAATGTTGTTAATTTTTAAAATTATAATTTATAATGAAATCATTAACCATTTGTAACATAACAATAATTAGTATTAATATGATTTTATATCTGTACCTGAATGTATAATCTATATGTATCTAATCTGATATAATCTATATATAATATATTATTATATAATATGATCTTAATGTAATTAAATATTTGCTCTTTTTGCACAAAAATTGAGTTATTACTGTATTTCATAAATTTGAAACATTTAAGTTTCCAATATATAAATATAAATTTATATTTGTTGTTAATTGCCTCAAAAATAGACCGTTTAATTGAGAATCTTTATAAGTAAAAAATCACAATTAAAATAAATACAACAAGGAGTTATTAAAAATCAAAATAAATTACCACTAATTTTAATAGTAATTTATATATAATATTAAATTCAAAGCTATTTAAATTCAGTTGATTTATATTAAATGAGTAAATGCTCTCAAAAAGCAAATGTTCTGTTGTTTTGTGTAATATTAATATATCATCAAAAATAAATTATTAATAATTAAAGTCATGTTTCAATAGTAAAATATTTCTAAAAAATTTTCATTTGATTCTCAATGACCCCAAAAATATGAATTCAAATGCTATATGACTTATATTTGTAATCATTTGTAGTTCTTGAGGCAAATCTAATAAATTTATGAAATAATTGACAAATGACTTAGAATTGAAACATTTTAAACAAAACAATCAATCGATAAAAAAATTATTGACTATAAAAGCGATCAATGATTTCCGAGTGTAGACCCAACGATAATCTAATGGATGAGAGGTATGGATGCCTCAAATGGCTGTCTCGAAGGTGTAGGTGACGTTAAAGGAGGGATTATCGAAGGAGTTCTCTCTAATGAGTCCGTTATTTATAGTCCCGTTTTCGTCGGGCGTTATTTCAGTCGATTTCAAGTCTAAGTTCTTATGGGTCGGACCCCAACTCTCCATCGGTTGCATCAACGCTGACAGCCTCTGAACACATGAAATACTAAATTAAAAATCTGTTGTTTTTTCATTGAATCGATACCTGAAATAGAGTTCCCTTTGATTTGAATGAGAGGAAGGTGTGGATCATCATCGCTATGATTGTGATTGTCGGCAGGAAAGCTATAAACCAGCCCAACATGTTGGCCCACGTCGGGTATATGTAAGACCCACTGGTCGCCGGCTTATGTTGGATCCAATTGAATGCCAAAATGCCCTGATGCATTCATTTAAAATCAGTATTTATGATACTGTATATTCTATAAAATAGACTCTGGGTCATTGTACTCACAAACAAAGTCAATGGAGTGAAGAGTTTCCAAATCCAAGTCCACATGACTTTCCAGCCGTGAGAATGAGTTCCAATCATTTTCTCGATTTCTCTGAGGAAGCGTTCGGCGCCGTAATACCAGGATATGATTAGACACTCAGTTATGGCTATTATGAGGACCGAGAAATTGGCCGCATATTTGTCAAACAGAGTTAACCAGAAAACTCCGCTTTGGGTGCAAAATATAAGTCCTCCCAAATAACCACATATCGAGACCGTAAGTAATACGAAGAATTTGTGCTCCCGGAGCGATGGCATGCGATCCAGAATAGCCGTCTGGACGGTCTCCAGTAGTGCGAACTGACTGTCCAATCCTAATGTCAGTAACATAAAGAAAAACAGGAACGACCACAACGGGGCAAATGGCAATCGGGCCACCACTTCGGGGTAAACCTGCGGTTCAATTAGTTTTATCAAATACTTGAGTCCAGTATATAGTGATTGGTTTGATAGGACTGACCATAAATGCGAGGCCAACCCCTTCATCGACAACATTTTCGACCTCTAATTCGAGTTCTTTTGCTAAATAACCGATTATTGAGAATATAACGAATCCACTGAATATACTCGTCCCTCCGTTCGCCAGTAATACTACTATTGAATCTCTGTTTGTATCAAACATAAGAAATAATATAAACAAATAATTCATAAAAATTAATCAATTGTTAACAAACTTATAGCAGTTATTATGAAATTTATTATAAGAGGCGAGTGTTATGAGTCCCCCCCAGGCCGGGGACAACGCGAAGAACACCTGAACGGCGGCGTCGCCCCAAACCTTAGACACGATATTCATATAATTAATATATTTTTGCAATTTATGACAAATAAAGGACAGACCTGTGGTGTGAAGAGCCGGTTCCAGTCAGGCTTCAAGTAGAAGACTATGCCCTGCATAGCACCCGGCAATGTGACGCCTCTTATGAATAATATAACCAAAACGACGTAAGGAAATAATGCCTTCAAATGAAATGACAGTCTCATGAATATGATAAAAGTAGTAATTAACTGAAAAGTTTGTATTTACGGTAAAATAAACCACTTTTCCTGACGATTGGACGCCTTTGCATAGGCAGAGGAACACTATAGTCCAGGCGGCCAATAGTGACAGCGCTAACGGCCAACGAATAGTACCCGTGTCCTCAATGCCGGGCGACTGACCCAACACATAGTGTCTGTAAATTGGTTTTGCCGTTAATATCAAGAGTTTGTCTCATTCTAAGCCTATGTGTGAGCCTTACGTGAAGTACTCGTCAGCCGATCCCTTCTTCTCGAGATGTTTGGACTGTTCGTAGAGTTTGAGCAAAGATGAGTTCAACGACGGGAAACACGTCTGATTGAAATATGTGCCGTTCGGGTACCGACTCCGGCACTCGTCCTTCTCCTTGTGAGAGTAGCAGAGGGGTGTCCGCCACTCCGGGTCACACCTCTCCCACGGAAGCTGTTTATTGAATGAGACAAACATGTAGAATATGGTCCACGCGATGATCATATTATAGTAGAGCATAACGATCGCTGAGACGATCACCATTCCGTAACCAATTCCGCCAAACAGTGGACAAAATCGTTCAAAAATGACAACTGGGCTAAGACTGGCGTACTGGCCAAACGCCAACTCCATAAACATAAGGGGAAAGCCAGCCAACAGCATCATCGCTATGAATGGGATCAGGAATGCGCCTGAAATGCATATCACAAACACATTTGGCACATATCATGCCAAATGCATTCAAATTAGATAAATAGCATTTGAGTATATATTGGGCTCAAGACATACCGCCGCCGTTATTATAACACAGATAAGGAAACCTATTCTCATGTAATGCAATCACAATTACATAAACCGATTAACAGCTAAATTTGGATTCAATGCAAACCTCCAGACATTTCCTAAACCAACTGAATAACCGAGAAGTGATAATATGAAGTCGAACCTTCCCGTCCAGTTCCCCCTTTCCACCGTCTCCTCCTCCTCTATGTCTTCATCCGATATCTTAGGAGAAAGTGGGACCTGACTCGACACACGTGGGAACGACTGCTCCTCTTCCGTCTATTCAATTCATAAACAATTTGTATATCTTGTTTACAATTCAATACTTATGAATAAAAGTTTTATCAATATACAATTTAAAATAATAATTAATTATTTTAGAATTATTAATCATTTACGGCAATAAATTATATTAAGAATAATAAATATTAATATGAAAATTAAAATATTTATTTATTTTTATGTAAATAATGAAATTCGGTTGAACCATGTTGTTACATGTATTTATAATTTAACGTTATTTAAAATTGGTTACATGATAGTAATGATTTTTAAAATTATATTTTTAAAAAATATACATTATGACAATAAATTATTTTAGCATTTATAAAACCAATTGTAAAAAATAATTTTGCTTTCAAATGCTTAGAGAAATGAGTTGTTCATTCTCTAATAATTTAATTTAAAGTTATTTTAGAATTATGTAAAAATAACTCAAATAATCTTATCCGGAATATTACTCAAAGAATATTAGATTAAGAATTGATTTTTTTGTTAGACAAGCAAAACATGAATTAGAATTCTTATGTATTCTCTGTTTATTTCAGAATCAGTGCAAATACTATTAAATGTCATATTATAATGTAAATTATGTTAATCATATCGTAAATATAAATAATGCAAATCCTATGTTTGGCATCAGTCCAATAGAAGCACTTTAAATAGCTTTCACGTTATGATAAGTAAGACATTATGACATTATATAAATAAATTCTAATTATTTTATGAGATAAAAATCAGAATTTAATTTAAAAAACAATAGCCAAAATATGGCCCATATATTCAAGTGTATAAGTTTCATTTACACAGTAATTACATTTAAATTTACAGAATAAATGCTTAGATATGTTATAAGAATTTTCTGTTTTTGTTGTTTATAATTCTTAGAATTCAAAGTTTTTATTTACACTTAAAATATTAAAGTGTATTACTTATTATACTTTATTAGTATTAGTTTATAAATATTTTAACGAATTCTCTGAATTATTAAAAGTAAAAGTATTTAATTTCTTTACAAAATCCTTAAACATGAATATTCATGACATAATGAGTGCCCGCTATAAATAGCAGTCAAAATCAATTAATGTATTGATTGTGAAGTAATTATAGCTCTATTAGGAGTCAACTTACTCTCCAATCTAAATAAGGTCTCAATCGGATTGTCTCTCCCGGCTCTTCCTCTGACAGATAGTCCTCGTCTAACACCACGTTTGGGTTATCCATGGCTTCAATTAACTAATATTTATATTGTTTATTCAATTTCTGTATTAACGATGATTTGCATATATTTCTATCGTAGACTCCGCAAATCAAATCAATTGTTTGCATATTCATAGGCACACAATATGTATATCAATTATTTTACATTCAATTAATATATCGAATATTAATATGACTTGAAATACGATATTCTAGTTTGGCGTCAAATATACAAAAATCATAGAAATACAAACACAATGAGTACACAGATTAGTTAGATTGAGACAATAAAAAGTCCAGAATTTGTATGTAATAACTTAGATATATGAATATTGATATTAATAACAAATAATTAATAGACAATATGAATAACAAGAAAGAAGTAAAACATTGAAAGATATTTGTGTTGACAGAGAGAGAAATACAGCGATTGTTGTTATTATGGTTTTATTAGAGCATGACTTGTATTTGTATCAGAAATGGTTACTTAAAACATCGTATTTGTCTATATTCTTGAACACATCCAAACATGTAGTACTACTCCCTGTGCTCTTTCCAGACATTCTCATTATTCGGTAACCTTCGTCTGAAACCGAGTTATAAAACAAAGAGCATATGTAACAGACTTAAACGCGTGTTTATGTTCTGAAGCGTAGCTAAAAACGGTGTTTGGATTACGATTGATAAAAATCAGCATTTCTGGATCTGATGCAAGAACTATACCAAACATCTGATAATAAATCTCATATACCGGCGCTACACCTACTATCCGTGTCACTTATATTTCACTGATTTCTATCATTTTGTATCTCTTTTTTAGAGCATTTCTGGATCTGATGCAAGAACTATACCAAACATCTGATAATAAATCTCATATACCGGCGCTACACCTACTATCCGTGTCACTTATATTTCACTGATTTCTATCATTTTGTATCTCTTTTTTATATACTTTTTCTTCCGATTGAAAGCAAATACAATGTAGTCTTTAGTATCCCTTATATAGACTAGAAATCTCTATACAAACACCAAATAAGTTACATTCATAATAATAATTCAGACATTTATTTGTCACATATTATATTCAATGCAATTCAGAGTCAATAAGATATAAAGGATATTTGAATAAGCTAATTTCACTTATAAACGCCTCAAATCAACTCAAATAAATCAGTGATGAATGCATAATACATTTTTTAGTAATTCGTATATTTTATTATTTATCTTATAATATACTTAATTATTAATAGATTATATATTCATTTAACCGGATTTTATATAAAATAATTTCTTTAAAAATTCATATAATTTCATTATTGTCATATTTTGTTTACACAAAAATTTATAATTTATTATTCTAATCTATTATTTAGAATATTAAATTTATATCAATTTAAAGAAATCTAAGTTATCAAATCAGAAACAATTTGTATATTCTGTATAATAATAAATTCCTTAAATATATTAACTTCTTAAATTTAATATTGATTGATTGATAAAAATTAAATACGGTATATTTATTCTAATTATGATCAAATACTTTTATTCAATATTATTTAATGTATACGAGTTTAAGAAATAATTATAACTATTATAATCCTAACAAATATTTTAGCTTAATTTGAGCACAATCAAACAATAATAAACAATATCAAGTTGAATACAAGGAAATTTTCTGTTTTACATTCTGTAATATATTCTGTAATATATTCTGTAATTAATTCTGTTTCTACTTATGTAATAGGATAAACTAAATAAATTTCCTAAATAATAATTAGTTTTGTTATTAAATATTTGTTTAAAAAACATGTTCATTATATTATATAACTTATGCAAGTTATAAAATAATATAAAACAGCGTTATACGTAAAAATAAATGCTTAATTTAAATATATATCATAAAAAGTAAATTAATTTGCAAAATATTTTCTGAATCACACAAATATTTTTTTAATAAAAATTGAAAATATCAAGCAAGCATATTGGTTATTTCTTAAGTTGTATGATAATTAAATTTAAATATAAAAAATATTATATTAATATAAAGCTGGTTTTGAATCAGTTTAAACAAGTAAAATATAATTAATTCTTAAGTACATTTATTTTCAGTTAATTAAAATTTAATTAAACTTTTAATTAAAATAAAATTAAACATAAATCTTACTTGAATCACATATTGATTGTATTTGTTGTCCAAATCTAATGTTAATTGCTTTTTATTTTTAGCCGATACTTGTCTTTCACAATAATTTTTACAATTCATTATAAATTAAAGTTGTTTTAATTATATTTTAATTTAAAAAACTTCATATTTATAAAAGTTCTTAAAAATTATCTCATATTTGTTTACTTAGTTTAATATAAAAATAGAGAATAAATCCATTTGTAATGCTTTATAAATATATAGAGTTTTATTAACTGGATATCAAAGCACTCGATAACAATGCCTACCATAACATCATATCCTACCATATGATCAACAGTTAGATAAAGAGCTGATGTAATGACAAAGTGATACAAGAAGTGATCGATTCTTTGCACTGGGATTCATGCCATTCATGCACTCTCTCTGTGCGCACTCACTCACCCACTCATCTCTCTCTCTCTCTCTGTCAACACAAATATCTTTCAATGTTTTACTTCTTTCTTGTTATTCATATTGTCTATTAATTATTTGTTATTAATATCAATATTCATATATCTAAGTTATAACGTACAAATTCTGGACTTTTTTATTGTCTCAATCTAACTAATCTGTGTACTCATTGTGTTTGTATTTCTATGATTTTTGTATATTTGACGCCAAACTAGAATATCGTTAAGAATATCGTATTTCAAGTCATATTAATATTCGATATATTAATTGAATGTAAAATAATTTATATACATATTGTGTGCCTATGAATATGCAAACAATTGATTTGATTTGCGGAGTCTACGATAGAAATATATGCAAATCATCGTTAATACAGAAATTGAATAAACAATATAAATATTAGTTAATTGAAGCCATGGATAACCCAAACGTGGTGTTAGACGAGGACTATCTGTCAGAGGAAGAGCCGGGAGAGACAATCCGATTGAGACCTTATTTAGATTGGAGAGTAAGTTGACTCCTAATAGAGCTATAATTACTTCACAATCAATACATTAATTGATTTTGACTGCTATTTATAGCGGGCACTCATTATGTCATGAATATTCATGTTTAAGGATTTTGTAAAGAAATTAAATACTTTTACTTTTAATAATTCAGAGAATTCGTTAAAATATTTATAAACTAATACTAATAAAGTATAATAAGTAATACACTTTAATATTTTAAGTGTAAATAAAAACTTTGAATTCTAAGAATTATAAACAACAAAAACAGAAAATTCTTATAACATATCTAAGCATTTATTCTGTAAATTTAAATGTAATTACTGTGTAAATGAAACTTATACACTTGAATATATGGGCCATATTTTGGCTATTGTTTTTTAAATTAAATTCTGATTTTTATCTCATAAAATAATTAGAATTTATTTATATAATGTCATAATGTCTTACTTATCATAACGTGAAAGCTATTTAAAGTGCTTCTATTGGACTGATGCCAAACA